ATGCACAAATAGAAGCACGGAAGAAGGAAAATGTCTTTTTCGTATTCCAAGCTAACGGCGAATTAAACGGCTTTCAAACATTCGCAGAGCAAACGTAGAAGATCCTAACAAACCGTGGACTCCAACAAGTTCAACAACACATCGAGACTCTTGGAGGTTTTCATCTTTTCTGCTGTGAATGGCCCAGGAGTTTCCACCAAGTCATTGTGGACATCGATGCTTATGACCAATTTCTGGTCAAATGGTCTTGGGTCCTCTGCCGTTAGAGTGGATAAATAACCAGGATCAATACCCTTTACGTGCTTTCTCACTCCGTCCAGCATTTCTTGCCGCCGACCAAAATAATTCCCAGCATGCAACGCGCGCTTTTGTCAACAATGAAACTCGCCTATAGTTCGAAAAATATGGTACTTCCTCAGTCCGGACGAGCTCCTCCCACCGTGTGACGTCTGTAACGTTCACGGCGTGAAGCGTTTGGACCAATCAGAGCGAGAGCTGCTAGAGCGGAGTTAGAGCGGCTCAGGGCGAGGCTAAGTTTTACAGATCACTTTTAGGCGCTTTGAGGATTTAAACATTTTTTAAAGTTTATGTCATTGATCTATTAAAATAACTGGAGGGTGTTGCTGCTTGTAGCTGCCTCCAGTTGACGTAGTGACACTTACTGGAGCTTCAGCGGAAAAATCCCCTGGGCTGAGAGAGGATTTTTCTCATAGAGGCAATGTAATCACAAACTACTCGTGTTCAGCTGACAGGGACCTACAACTTTCAAAAATGTCAAATTTTGTGGCAGTTTTGACCAGTTTTTGGATCATAAATTTTTTCTCAGCTTAAAGTCCTTCAGTTGTCTTAAAAAAACTCTTTATAATCGTTCGCTCTGGCTCCGCTCTAGCTCCTCTTGCTCTGATTGGTCAAAGCGATCACATGATACACAAGACTGCGCTCCGTGTGTGCACTCGCAGGAGAAAAGAGCACTACTGCACACGCTCAATCGACCCACAGCCACCGGAAGTACCTCACCGAGCTAAAGGCGAATCTGGAGTCATGCCCATTGACTTGAATGGGCGGTCATTTTAAAACCCCACGACTTGGTTTATGTTGTGAAAACAGAAAAGAATCCTGCAAAGTCCGACCTTTGTGAAAGTTGTTGATGCCCTGTCAAAACATTGGCAGTTTGAATTCCCAGAAAATGCATTGTGCTTCTATGGGAAAAGTTCTTTCTGGGCCCAAGCTGCCGGGAAGCTGCAGTACCTGAAGTAACCACTAGTCTGTCTTGAGCCGGGACAGACGGGGAACAATGTCCGTGAAGTTGGACCCCATCAAACGCAAACCTACGCAGTAGGGATGGGCATTCGATTAAATTTTCTTAATTGATCGTCGGAAGAATTAACGATTGATTATCGATTAATCGTTAACATTTTTATATTAAAATGATCATCATTATTATTACTATCTGCACTACTAATCTGCATAAATAAATTCAACTTTATGACATATAAACCGTAACGACTCTAGAGCCACATCAGCCCGTTTGACATTATAATGTGTTTAATTCAGTTTTGTTCAACTCTCACAGAAACGAAACTTAAAACCGCATCACTAATTTGCATAAACTCAAGCGAAAGATAAAACTACAGCTCTTGTGCACTGATGCGGTTCAACTTCTGTCAGATTTAAAAGACATGACTCAGGTAAATACAGGTTAGTGTGACCAGATTTGCGTTTGTCAAAACCAGGACACCGTACGGGGGGAGGGAGGTGGGACTCGTCATCCACATTGAGCGACTCTCACCTGGTAAAACTTTTTCCCACTGGACACAGAAACATATGTGCTGCTTTGTTCACTGTGCACATGGACTCACACTTGTCCCGAAAGCAACGGAAAGTGTGGAATTTCTTGTACAAATCATTGTTAAATACACATTTGTGCTTCGGTACGTTGCAGACTGACCGACTGTTTGTGTGTCTCGCTCCTTCTGATGCAGAGAGACACATGTACACACCTGTTTGGTCACACTACACACAGCAACCTACATTCAGTTTGTCGATTAAAATGAACGTAATCGATGAAATTCTTAATGATCAATTATCGATTAATCGACTAATCATGCCCATCCCTACTACGCAGAGACTATGTCAGTTTTTTGTGCTGTTTTGTGCTACAAAAAGTTTCATTTGTGCTGCTTTAGTTTTGGAGACAATAATGATTCTTTTATAGGTCAAATTAGAGTCGGACCATCACCCAGGAAGATTCAAAATACTCTAAAACGGCTCAAAATGGTTTCGTACGTTTGTGCTTTCATTTGTGCTGGAAAAAGTTTCATTTGTGCGATTATGGTTCTTAAGATATTATAGCTGTTTTATTTTCGGTCAATGACGTTGTCCAGCCCCTCAAAATGTTAAATAGCCTAAAAACAGCAGAACATTATACTAAAGTTTGTATTTCGTTTGTGCTGTTTTATACTTTGACTGTTATCATTTGTGCTTGTATGTTTCTAAAATGATTAATTATGATTTTTGCGGTAATTTTATGATGTCATGTTGGCTCAGCTAGTGAAGATAAACGATCTGAGGCAGTGGAAAAAAAATCTGTATAATTATATAAAAATATGCAACAAAAGCAAATTACTAAAGACTTTTCCACAGCCTCAGATCGTTTATCTTCACTCGTGTTGACTGACTGACCCTGATTTGACCTATAAAAGTATCGTTAGTATCTCCAAAACCAGAGCAGCACAGACGAAACTTTTCGCAGCACAAACGAAGCGCAAAAGATTGACATAGTTTTTTGTGTAGGTGTGTGTTTGGTCGACGCCTTCTCCAGTTTCTATTTATAGATCCGTGGTTTTAAAATTCCACACACCTTCACTAGAATCATTTGGATCATTTCAGCCCTGGAATCTCGACTGAACCAAAGGTGAACTGTTGAAAACTACCTCTTCATGACATCACAAGGTGAAACAGAGCATTTTGAGCTTTGGAGATGTAAACAGACTAATAATAAAGAGTTACTCAAACATGTGAATGAAACAAAACACAACTCCAGGTTTGTTTATGAGGAGGTAACAACATTATGACATGGTTTAAAGCTCACAAGAGTTTTTTAAAAGTTGAACTAAACACTAAATCCAATTTTTTTGCCACTAAACCAGGACTGGGCAAACTTTTTGACTCGTGGGCCACAAAGGGTTCTAAAATTTAAAGGGCCCATCTCATGCAAAATCAACTTTTCAGAGCTTTCTACCTTCTAAGAGTGATGTGTGGGCCTTGTATTTGTCGCCGAAGTGGTTTTTAGATTGATTCTGCGTTTTTTTAGCAGCGTATTTCTTCCACCCTCCCACGTGACAACGAACTAAAGCTGCTACAACGATGACGCGGCAGATACACCTGGTCTAAACCTGGTCTAAACCTGGTCTAAACCTGGTCTAAACCCAGTTGCAACCTGGTCTAAACCTGGTCTAAACCTGGTCTAAACCTGGTCTAAACCCAGTTGCAACCTGGTCTAAACCTGGTCTAAACCTGGTCTAAACCTGGTCTAAACCTGATCTAAACCTGATCTAAACCTGGTCTAAACCTGGTCTAAACCTGGTCTAAACCTGGTCTAAACCTGGTCTAAACCTGTCAAACCTGGTCTAAACCTGGTCTAAACCTGGTCTAAACCTGATCTAAACCTGGTCTAAACCTGGTCTAAACCTGATCTAAACCTGGTCTAAACCTGGTCTAAACCTGGTCTAATCCTGGTCTCAACCTGGTCTAAACTTGGTCTAAACCTGGTCTCAACTTGGTCTCAACCT